CTCTCTCTCTCTCTCTCTCTCTCTCTCTCTTACAAATAATTATTGTTTGAGTCTCAGCTAAATAGTCACAACTTGTCTAGACACGATTACCTAAATACTTGGAAAAGTATAGTTGTATTTTTGTCTTTTTTTATTACCCCCGGCGTATGTTACCAATAGCAATAGGTATCGAGGTATCGGTATCGATACATTGAAAAAGTACTAGGTATCGACATCGATACCTAAATTGTGGTATCGGCCCATCACTACTGAATAACTGAATGTTGAGTGTTTGAAGTGGAGGATGTGGGTCTTCAACAGTTCTAGCAGTATATAAACCACGGTTCGTACAGTACTTTCATGTCCAGAAAATCATTATAAATTAATTTCACAATCTTCGAGTTAGTGGCATACTGACGTAGATCAATCGACGCGTATTAAACCGGGTAAATCTTTACTTTCACTCCCGCACACACACAGTTACACTGCTTTGAGGGTCAAACTGCAGTATTATTTGCAGCAGATCACATAATCAATCATCAGTAAAACTGTCAAAAATGAATTATTTTCAAGAAAATCTCTAACCTAACTGCAAAACATCAAATTATAACAACAAATATTTTTTTAATGATTCTATTATGGGGACGGTAAGTCGTTCGTGTTCAGCTCATCAAATGTAGTAGCAAGAATATGGGCACGTAGAAGCTAAATGTGAAACGGGAGGGAAAGTCCACAGCCTCGGCCCCAGACATCATAAAAATGATGATGAATAAGGCGTCAAACACTAGGCCTATGAAACTAATACCACAGAATTCTACACTTAAGTGTAGAATTCTGTGACTAATACTTACAATACATTGCCCACAGCCTCCTTTCCGCTCCGCCCCTCACTTTTGGACGTCAAACATGTCGAACGCTTGGGTTGTGAGGAGAGTCGGGTGTGTTATTGTAAGGCGGTGTGGCTCACCATAGGCCTACTAAATGTAGGCTACTCTGAAATCAGTACATTCATGCTGTTCTTGTTAGCCTATCGTTATGTTATATTCATCGATTGTTATTTGGGGGTTTTTTTTAAGATAAAGAGGGTGACTGGTGATATATGGATATTGCTGCTGCTGCTGCTGCTGCTGCTGCTGCT